TATTAATGCAAACGCGAATCATGATTATACAGTCTTTTGAGTTAGATAAATATGATAGTTTGGTTTTCGATTTCCCAAGTTTGAGATCGGATTTGTAGTTATTTAACTTATAATTAGTTAATTATCCTCGTCTTTACTCATAATATATTCAATGGCAATTATTTAATGCAATTAAAGTTATTACAGGCAGGCGTTAATTCATTAAGCTCTTATGCAATCATTAAAAGTAATTACATAAGTTCATGATAATGATAAGATAACAAACACGATGCTAGTATTTGATATTGATAATAACGATGGTATTAATAAAAATAAAACTGAAATTTATATAAAAGGAAGGTGGTTAGGTACTATCGATAATAAAAGTAATAAGGATGACAATAATAATGAGTTATGATAATGATAATAATGATGATGATAATGATAATAATAACAATAATGATAATAATGATATTGATAATAATAATTAAGATAATAAACCAAAAATAATAATGATAATTATAATAATAATTATAATGATAATTAATAATGATAATACTCTCAATGATAATAATAATAATGATTATGACAATAGAAATAATAATAAAGATAATAAAGTTAATAATAATTAGTTTTATAATGCTCATGATGATAATTGTAAAAATGTTAGCTATTACTATTATAATAATCATAATGATACTGACATTGATACTAATAATAATATTGATGATAAGAATTACAATAATGATAATGAAAAATCGACAACTGTAATGACGTCATAATTACCGTTACAAACATCGTCATTATATCAACCATTTAAAAGAGAGAAAATAAAGTGACAATTATTTTAATAATTACAAAGCAACGAGAGGAAAATAATAAAACAGAAGCCAATAGAAAGAAAAAAAAAAATCACAAGAATTTGCAACAAGCATGGCAACGGCAGAGCAAAAATAATGCTGGCACATAATACTGACAAGTTATAGACTCCAAGGTCTGAAGTCCATTGAAGGGAAAACAAAATGTATACGTAGGCAGACCCGCCTCCTGTACCGTGTTCTCCTTGTTGATTCAGCTCACGAACTGGGGTCTCGTGGACACTATATTGGGAGTCATGACTGTTCTCTTTTCTTTGTGTTTTAAGGAAAATGATGAACAAATGCTATTTTCGTGTTGTTTTTTATTTTTTGTTTATTTGCTTCTTTTTTTAGAGGGATGTGCATTCTAAAGAAAGCTTGTTCTGAAAAGCTACTTGTACTTGGAGTGATATTTCCTGAATTTCCAGCGGGACGTCGTTGCTCGTTAGATTCAGCATTGGAACCGATTTATATAAAACCGATTATGGAACTTATTAATGTGGCGATTTTCATTAAACCACTTTTGTCTTTTAGTTGATTTGTAAGATTTTGTCGTCTCAGATTTTTTTCGGTGAAATTGATGTTGATGCTAATGAAAATGATGTTGATGGTATGATGATAATGAATTCATTAATGGCGATGAGGATAACAATAGTAATGATAACAGTAACAATGATAATGATAATAATGGCAGTAGTTGCTGAAGTAGTAGTAGTAATGATAATGATAATGATAGAAGTAATATAAATAATGATAACGATATTTATAGTTATAATGATAATAACAGAAACGATAGTAATAACAATAATGACAGTAATAATAATGCATTGTTATTATCTCATCATCATAATGATAATAATAATGACTACGACGCGATGATGAAGATGATGACTGGTAAAAGCAACAATAACTATAATCATAGCAATGACAATAACAACAACAAGAATAAGAAAAACACTAAATTTGGAGAAAATAAATTCCCCAAGACCTTCAGATATCACACTCTAAGTATAGTAAAGCCATCTTTATTCAGTCACGTCATCTTAGGGTACGAGGATTAGAGAATCATGAGGAATTATGACTGCATCACGTTGGAGGATTGGGAAAGAGTATATATAAAAGAAAAGCCTTATGGACGAATATTTATGTAGTAAAATTTGAGAAAAATATGGGTATTTGGTGTTTGGGTATTACAATGATTCTACAGTTTCAACAGTTGTCAGTCAATAATGATTGGCAACTTCTGTATTAGTGCAATGCAATTATCATAGATAGATATAGGTAGATGGATAGCAATTTGGCTAGACAGATAAAAATCTGTTTGTGTGCGTATACATGCATACATATATACATATATATATATATATATATATATATATATATATATATATATATATATATTTTATTTTTTTTTTTTTTTTTTTTTTTTTTCTTTCTTTCTTTTTTTTCTTTTTTTTATACGAACACATATATGTCGAGAGAGACAGATACATAAAAGATATAAGATATACAGATACATAGATATATATAGATAGATATATAGATACAGATATAGACGCATTTGCACATATGTATATACATATATAGATAGATACGTATATATAGATAGATAAATAGATAAATTTATATACAGTATACATGTACACACACACACACACACACACACACACACACAACACACACACACACACACACACACACACACACACACACACACACACACACACACACACACACACATATATATATAATATATATATATATTATATATATATATATATATATATTATATATATTATATATATATGATCAGAATGATAATGATAGTAGTAGTAGTAATATATATTATAATGATGATAATAATAATGATATAGATAATAATGATAACAATGATAATGGTAATGATAATATTAGAATTATAACATATATAATAATATAATGATAATAATGATGATAAGAAGAAGAAGAATTACTAACAATAAAAATAATGATAATACAGCAATAACAAATGATTAATGATAATGATAATAATAATAACAGTAATCAAAATAATAATGATAATGACAATAATGATAATGAGAAACAATAATGATGATAATGATAATAACAACAAAATAGATCATAATCATTTATTTCATAGCATCTTTATCCTAATAAGGTTCTTATTTGTATTGGCTTGTATGTTTGTTTTATGTGTACATTTGTATGTGTGTTTTTTTCATGTGTGTGACAAATATACATACAAAAGAAAGAAATTGATATGAAGCAATGCAAAGATATACCTTCGACGCTTACTAAGAACTTGATAAATAATTATAAATGATAAATAAAACCTTTTTTTTTGCAATGAAACCTGTTTACACATCCTTCGAAGGTTTACAACTCCGGCACATTCCATCCTAACTAGGGAATGGGCGTGGCCTCGACCGCATAGGAACCGATGTTGCACTCGTTGGTTCCTCTCCTGATCCTGAAGAAGCCGCCCTCGCCCCAGTCCGCGCCCCACGAGTTCCTGCAGGTCCAGTACTTCTCTCCCGTGGCAGGATCGACGCCGTAGCCCACGAGCAGGACGGCGTGGCTGGTGGCCTGCGAGAGACGTGCGAATTACCAAGGAGGAGGAGCATTGTCTGTTATTTTGGGGGATTTCTTCCTTGATTCTGGTTCTGCTCATTATGTATGTGGTTTTTTTTTTATAGGTTTGTTAGTTTTTTGTTGTTTGTATCATTCGTGTATGTTTGTGGTTAGTGTGGTGTGGGGTTAGGTGTGGGTTGTGGGTTTTTGGTGTGGGTTGTTGGTGTGGGTTATTAGTGTGTGGGTGTGGTGTAGGTTGTGTGTGTGTGTGGGGTTGTGTAGGTGTAGGTGTGGTGTGTGTGTGTGTGTGTGTGTGTGTGTGTGTGTGTGTGTGTGTGTGTGTGTGTGCGTGTGCGTGTGCGTGTGTGCGTGTGCGTGTGCGTGTGCGTGTGCGTGTGCGTGTGTGTGTGCGTGTGCGTGTGCGTGTGTGTGCGTGCGTGGTGTGTGTATGACTGCCTGTGTGTGTGTGCGTACCCCGTGAGGATTGAAGTCGCTCCGAGCGCCCGTGTGGTGATACACGCCGCCCTCGTAGTTGAAGAAGTCGTCGTAGACCATGTAGGACACGGCCATGGGTCCCCGCGCCACCAGGGCCTCCATCATGAGGTCCTCGCTGCTCCCGCCGTAGTATCCGCCGAGGAAGGAGTAGTCGCTGACGTAGGTGCGAGCGCAGGACGGGTCGGTGGCGCACGGGTCGTCCTGGAGGGCGGGCGGGAGAGCGGGTCAGGGGAAGGGCGGTGGTCGCAGGAGGAAAAGGAACCGAGGCAGATGGGGAATTAGACGAATCCTTCACTAATCCCCGTCACTAAATGCTGGTAGATATTGATCCCCCACGAAAACGAAAAATTAAAAGAGAAATCAACCAGGAAAAATACAATTCATTATGGAGAAGGAAGCTTACCTGTGCAGTGTAAGGATTGCACTCTTCTGCAACCATACCCTGCTCCATGGCGTAACGGCCTGCAATTAAGTACTTAAAGCCTCCATTGCATCCTTGTGAGACGGCAGAACATGACACCACGTCCTGGGCAAAGAAAACGGGCTCGGTGAAAATCCTCTTTGTGTCGAGTATTACATTCAATATACCGTTTCCTCTCCGCTTCTCTTTGTGTGTAGCTCCTTTTATTTCAGTTCCAACTTAGAGAAGAACTTAATTGAGAATAAGTACTTCCTCTTTCTGCATCCTTAATGATAAGGAAATGAATAAAAAAAAAACACGATTTGAGTATTCGTTTTCACCTGCGTGGAGAAGACATCTTGGCGCTGGTTCCGTGTCTTCACTCGGAGACGACTCTCGAGCATGGCGGTGGAGGCGAACACGTAGCAGGACCCGCACTGGGCCTGGTCTCTCACGCCGCCTACGTAGTTCACGCCCTCCACGTCACGCCAGTCGAAGTTCTCCGGCAGGAGGCTCAGGCGGGCGAGCAGCTCCGGGGAAGAAGAAGGAGGCGAGGCGGGAGGGAGAGAGGACCCGTGGCCGCCGGACCTCAGCTGCATCTCCTCTATGGTGTACCTGCCGTAGGGAATGCGTCTGGGTTTAGGGCTTCTGGACGCGCCTTGATTCTCTGGAGGAATATTCTCGTCACGTTTCGTAAAAAGATATGGTATTTGGGCACAGAAGAATTAATCCTTTTATATAGACAAGTTACGCAGTCACCCTTGCTCTCTCTCTCTCTCTCTCTCTCTCTCTCTCTCTCTCTCTCTCTCTCTCTCTCTCTCTCTCTCTCTTCTCTCTCTCTCTCTCTCTCTCTCTCTCTCTCTCTCTCTCTCTCTCTCTCTCTCTCTCTCTCACTCACTCACTCACTCACTCACTCACTCTCTCTCTCTCTCTCTCTCTCTCTCTCTCTCTCTCTCTCTCTCTCTCTCTCTCTCTCTCTCTCTCTCTCCTTCCCCTTTCTCCCTCCTTTTCCCTCTCTCCCTGCCCTCTTCTCTCTCCCTTTCCCCTTTCTCCTCCCTCTCTCTCCTTTCCCTCTCTCTCCTCCCTCCCTCTCCTTTTCCCTCCCTCTCTCTCCTTTCCCTCCCTCTCTCCTTTTCTCCCTCTCTCCTCTTTCCTCCCTCTCTCCTTCCCTCTTCCTCTCTCCCTCCTTCTCTCTTCCCTCCTTCTTCTCTCCCTCCCTCTCTCTCTCCCTCCCTCTCTCTCTCCTCCCTCTCCTCTCTCCTCTCTCCTTTCTCCTTCTCTCCTCTCCTCTTCCCCTCTCTCTTCTTTTCCCTCTCCCTTTCCTCCTCTTCCTTCCTCTTTCCCTCCCTCTCTCCTTCTCTCTCTCTCTCTCTGTATTGCTTCCTACAGTACATAAAATTGGGCCACCACCCACTGCTCGAACTGCGGATACGCCTTCGCCGTCCACGACGTCTGAATGGCATTAATCTGCGCAATGTGTCGATGGTCCACTCTGTATTGCTGGTCCTGAAGCCTCTGCGTCCTCTTGGGAACTCTTGGCGCTACCTTTAGACACGTGGAATTGTTGAGGTTATTAAGCCTAAAGAAAAGACTTTTTTTCTCTCTTTGTAATATTATGGTTCGTCTTGATATATTTCTGTTTGAGTTTTGTGATTTCCATAAGAAGGAGATGCATAATACAACATTCGATAATAGCCTTATATATTGCTCCCTCTTACCTGCGTATTCTTTTGGCCTTTGAAACAGGACCAGTTCCTCACTGTCTTGTCACGTGACCAACCGTTGAAGGTACGATCGCAGTAGGAGACAGAGTTCTCCCAGTCGCCCTCGTAGTAGGAGAAGGCGAAGTAGGACCTTCCGTTGATATTCACCTGAAGGATATGAAAGGAACTGAATCTCTGAACTGAAGTCATGTCAGCATTTGGTTCTAAAGTTTATAAGACAAGTTTACTTGACTGGATGGGCTCTGTAAATGGTATGTCTTTTTTCTTTTACCTCAAATCCTTGACTCGAAATCATAGTCCACGTTCCTTCGTTGCCGAGCTCGTCCGTGGCGGTGTCGGGGAAGCTGAGGGTGAAGGTCTTGGTGTGGACGACGGGGCCGAGGGCGTCGCAGCTGAGGCTGCTGTCGCCCGACCGCTCCGTCTCCTGGAAGGTCCATGTGCCGCGGATGTCCTCGTAGTAACATGCTACTGGAATGTCCGCGGATGCCAGGGCGAGACACCCCAGCAGGAAGACCGATTTTGACTGTGGGAGATGCGAAAGGGATTAGAACAGATTCAGCAGTGTCGAGTAAATCTGCCCCACTGCCTTCCAAATGACAAAGAAAAAAACTAACTACAGACTGACTCATGGTCGTTTTGTTTCGTGACTTTGCCCTATGACCTAGGGCTTAATTCACGTTCATCCCGCTTCAGCCTTTTACTCAGTGTCCATAACTAAGTAAAGTAAAAGGAACCAAAAAGGAGCAACACATTCGAGTTTTCCTGTTATGACCTAGCTTTTAACCCTCATTTGCGATCATCAGCGTCAGTTGACCGTGAACCGGCGAGGACGAGCGGGTGCGGGCGGGCGGGTACTCACCACCACCATCTCATCCGCGGGTCGCCTCCGAACTGTCCGCCCGCAGATCTCGCGTCTCATGTCTCCGCCTCATCCGATAAGGAATCTGACATGTAAACCTCGTCTGGGGCGATTGTTCTGCCATGTGACACGAGTGCTGGAAATGGGACTGGGACAGCCTGTGAACGCTGGCAGAACAAAAGATGAAATGTTGGAAAATCACGGCGAGGATGGTCACGTGTTCTTGCCGTTAACATTGCTTTGTTGGGAGGATGAATTGTGTCAACAAGGAACACACGTGGCTTTTGTGAGAGACCTTTTTTTGCACTGCGGGGTCGTTCTTTTTTCTTTCTTTCTCTCCCTTTTCTCTTTGTTTTAACTTTGATTCGATGCGTGAAATTAGGCTTAATACCGCTTACATAAACCCAACTTACCGACGCGGGAAACGCAACACATGCCAGCCTCTACCTCGTGACTTCGAGACCCAACCCCCTAGGACCTTGTCGCTAAGCAGAAGGCCTCAGGACTCATCGACCCTCAGACCAACGCTGACAGCGCCTGATCTGGTTTATTGACGGCTGCAGGACCCGTTAGCAATACAGGAGATTGATGGTAAGATGGCAGCCTCTTTGGTTGGGCTGCAGCCATGGGAACTGCGGCCACCTGTTCCCCTCGGCGCCAAGGCTGACACATGGAGTAGGTTTTTACGAAGGTGAGACAACTGCTCTGATTGCGTGATGTATATGCTGTTTATGACTGTTTTTTATGGCTTTCTGTTTGATGCTGACACGTGTTTACTCGTTTTCGTGAACATGGATACTTCGCCAACTCGTAAATATATATATACACATGTCAAACTTTACATTGAAGGAGAGGGATGAGGAGAAGAGGAAGAGAGGAGGAGAAGAGGAGGAGAGAAGAAGAAGAAAAGAAGAAAAAAGAGAAGAGGAAGAAGAAGAGAAGGAGAAAAAGAAGAGAGGGGGAGGAAAACAGGAAAACAAAACAAGAAGAAAAAAACGAAAAAAATAACAAGAAGAAAGTACCCAAACGAATAACATGAAAAATAAATACGGAAAAAACACACCTCAACAGACAAAAAAAAAAAAAATCGCACTTCGAGGGTGATAATAGCATAACAAGGTCCATGTAAAGGCGTCAGCAGGCAGTCTTCCCGCAGAGGACTCTCACACTTGTCATGCTGGTCTGGCACAACAGCTCACTCTCTCTCGCTCCTTTGTTCCGAACTAATACTCTCTATTAACAATAATAAGGGAATCAAATCCTTTATAAAGACCATGTATATTGGAATCAGATCTGTTTTAATAACTATGTATATGGGAGTCAGATCCTGTTATAATGACCATGTATATTGGAATCAAATCCTAATCAGTTTTAATAACTATGTATATTCAGATTATAATGTATATTGGAATCAAATCCTTATTAATGACTATGTATATGGGAGTCAGATCCTTTTATAATGACCATGTATATCGGAATCAGATTCTTTTTAATGACAATGTATAAGGGAGTCAGATCCTTTTTTAATGACTAGGTGTGATATGGGAATCTAAGTCTTTTAAAATGACTCGTAAATGGCGTCTTTGTAACGGGTCTTGTTGGTTCGGATCGTCTTTAAGGAGGGGATGTGGTTTGTGATCCTGTGGTATTATGATTGTATGGTGTTCTATGGTGTTGTTATGTAATGATTGTGGAATTGGAAGATGGTTCATGATCTATTTGTCATTTTTCATTTTTATTGTCGTAAATTAGCGTTGTCAATATTACTATCATTTTTTTTATCGGTACTATCATTACAATTACCATTATTCATATCGTTATTATTGTTATTATTTAAATTATCATTACCATTATCGCCATCATGGTTGAAATCGTCAATACAGATATCACTGCTATTATTATCATCTTAATTCTTGGTAATAATGATCAACATATTATTAGCATTATCTTCATTGCAAATATTATTCTATCTCCATTATTTTATCATTACCCTAATTAGTGTTATCTTGATTATATCCACTATATTTATAATCAATACTACTGCCGCCCCCCTCTTGCCGTGTTCAATATCATTTTCTTAAGCGATTAGCTAATCCCAACAGAAACCGAACACCATGCTAATCCAAACGTAAAACCTGATATGCTCTAATCCCAGTGTAGTCACGGTCCTATTATAATTGCTATAATCCTCATTAATCCCGAGTTAGTCCGGCAAATGTCTCACTTTCGCATTATACAACCACTGTGAAATCTATAGAGGAAAGGCAATATCATCTTCTATTAATACCTTAATCGTGGCCATTACTGCGAATGTGATTGTTTGATTATTATATTGTTATACATTCATTGCTGTAATTATATGTTTTATAATCATGATCATTATTATCATTATCGCTATTTCTATCAGTATCGTTGTTGTCATTTTCATTCTTACTTAGTATTGATATTGTGTTTTTTATGATACATGGTTTGTGTATATTGCGCAGAGTGAGGGACAACGAAAGGAACGACCAGGCTAACTGCCCATATCTTTGTTAAACTACTGCACCTGTTACAATGGTTGTGGAAAAACTCTTACTTGTTTGTCAGTGAGATAGCGATAACTCTGAATTCTTCTTTTTTCTTTTTTGCTTTTTCTTTTTTTTTTTTTTTCTTGAGTTCAGTGAAAGTAGCTTCAAATGACGAGACATCTCCGAATGCCTCTGATAGCAACGGCTTCTGGTTTTCCCTTCTTTAAGCAATAAAGAGATGTCAGTCGTTTCAAAAATACGGATTTCAGTGAAAACCGAAAAAAGTAAATGTAATTGCCTAATATGGTGTTCCATGTATTGGTGCTTGTGTCCTAACCTTGGCCTCGTGAAAGGGGGGGGGGTGTAACCTAAGAGATAAAGGTAACCAGAACACCTGTCTTTCCTCAGTGTTGGTCACGATGTTGGTGAGAAGACACGGTCCCGTAGCATTGAATGAGTCTGACCTTGTTACGCTTTCCTTGAACAGTAGTCCTGCATGGTCAGAATGTTTCCCTGAAAATATCCTTTCCATTTCTCAAACAGAAGGCATTCTTACTCCTGGCGTGTGTGGCGGGAGCCTGGTCGGACACGCCGGCCAACTGCCTGTACGAGGACATCCGCGGCACATGGACCTTCCAGGAGACGGAGCGGTCGGGCGACAGCAGCCTCAGCTGCGACGCCCTCGGCCCCGTCGTCCACACCAAGACCTTCACCCTCAGCTTCCCCGACACCGCCACGGACGAGCTCGGCAACGAAGGCACCTGGACGCTCATCTATAACCAAGGCTTTGAGGTAAAGTCCCCGCAATGAGATCCAATTCAGGCTCTACATATCGATCGTATGTTGCGATTAACAAACCTCGTTCGATGCCACGTGTTCATATGATTTGAATAAAGTGAAATATAAGAATCGAGAATCATTAACAGAAACCTGAATGGAGACGGATCTGGTTGTGAACTTTTAACTGCGTCTTTTCTCAGGGCCATCTTGAATATACAGCACACCTTGTTCAACTGATTATAATTATAGTAGTTTCCGAAATACTTTCATTTAGGTATATAAATCACCGATAAAAACTGGCTCTACAGTGAATTTCTTTAGATGCAAAAAACTGTGACTGTACCAGAAATTAATCTTTCTCCGTATGTGTAATGTAAGAATGTATAAAATTCAGATTTCATTATTAATTAACTGACTTAAAACACATCAATTAATACCTCGCCTGAATGCGTTAATCTTTGTTTATATGCTGAAAATGTGGTCTAGGCAACCTAATTAGTGCCGAGACGGTTAGTATCAGGGCGGGCATCTGGGGAGAAAAAGGGTGTAACTCCAAACATAATTGGGGGAAACTATTAAGAAAAAATAGATTAATCCCATATCCACACGCACCCGTAACCACACACATACACACAGATGAACACCCACACGAATGTGTATGTGCTGCGTGCGTGTGTGTGTGTGTGTGTGTGTGTGTGTGTGTGTGCAAACGTACATACATACATGCATCACTTTCCGCGCCCTGTCCCTAATGTTCCGCCGCGTTTCCAGATCAACATCAACGAGCGGTCCTACTTCGCCTTCTCCTACTACGAAGGCAACTGGCTGGAAGTCACGTCCTTCTGCGACCGCACCTTCAACGGCTGGTCACGTGACAGGACAGTGAGGAACTGGTCTTGCTTCAGCGCCCAGAAGAACACGAAGGTGAGGGGGGGGGGGCGAAAAGATGGTGAATGACGAGGTTGATGATAATTATGTTTATAGTATTAATGAGAATAAGTTGATGATGATGATGATGATGATGTGATGGTGATGATGAAGTTGTGATGCTGATGATGATGATGATGGTGGTGATGATGGTGATGATGATACTGATAATATGATAAAATAACTGTAATGGTAATAATAACAATTACAATAAGATTTACTTCAGTAATCATTATGAGGATAGTGATAGCGACACCAATGAAAATTGCTTAGTAATAATAAAGATAATACTTTAAAAAATTGTAATGGCATTAATGATAATTATATTTATAAGCTAATAACAATATTGGTGTTGAGGATATGTCATTGCTTGGATATGCTATGCTAGTAAAGCTGATAGTAATGATAATGATATTGACTTTAATGGTAATAATAAGGGTTATAGTAAAATGTCTTCCAATAATTACTCTCATGATGATAATGATAACAATAGCAATAGCGATTAGCAGTAACAACAATGAAGATGATGCTATAATGACAGTAATGATAATGACATCCACCCCCTCCTAACCCCCCTCCTGGGCCTCCACCCATCAACCCCCACCTAACCCTCCATCTCTCACCCCTTCTCCCACCCCCTCTCCCCTTCCCCCCTCCTAACCCTCCACCTACTCCCTCACCCCTCCGTTCCACTACCCTCCCTTCCTCCACTCCCCTTCCTACCCTCCCCCCTCTCCCCTCACCTTCCCCCTCCTCCCCCACTCCTAACCCTCTCCTCCTCCCCCACTCCCTTCCTAACCCTCCCTCACCTCCCATTCCACCTCCTTCCTCTCTCCTTCACCCCCATTCCACCCCCTTCCTCTTCCCCTCCTCCCCCATTCCACCCCATTCCTCTTCCCTCCTCCCCCATTTCACATCACCATACCCACCCCTTCCCTCTCCTCCCTCCTCCCTCACGCCCCACACCCTTCCACCTCCCCACCCCCACACCCACCCCACTCCACACCACCCTCCTCCTCCCCCACCCCCCACACCCTTCCACTCCCACCCCCCCCCACCCCACCCCACCACCTCCTCTCCCCCACCCCCTTACCTACCCCATCCCACCCCCCACCCCTTCCACCTCCCACCCCTTCCTCCCCCTTCCTCTCTCCTCCCCTCTCCCCTCCTCCACCCCACCACCCACCCCACCCCTTCCCCTAACCTCCCACCCCCACCTAAAAAAAAACCCAAGTTCGCATCACAGGTGGCGCCCAGGGTGACCCGCCGTCCCGCCCAGAGGAACGCTGACGCCCCTTATAAGAACGACCGCGACCTCGTCAGGAAGGTCAACGAAGGACAGACGTCGTGGACTGCCAAGGTCTATCCGGAAGACGAGAAGTAAGAGGATGGGGATGGAGGAGGGATAGGGGAAGGAGGGGATAGGGGGATGGGGGGAGAGGGATACGTGAAAGAGCGGGTAGGGGAATGTGGGATGGATAGGGATGGGAGAAAGAGGGAGGGGATGGATAAGTGGATGGGGAAGGGATAGGGGGGGGATGGGAGGGGATATGGGGATGGGAAGGATAGTGGAGATGGAGGGGGAAGACGAGGGGAGAGAGGAAGGGGACGGAGGATAGATAATGGGAGATAGGAGGAAACGGGAGGAGGGAAGGGATAATGGGAGAGAGGAGGAGAGAAAGAAAGAAAAGGAAGGAGAAAGGAAAAGCGGATAAGGGAGGGAGGGATAGGGAAGACTGAAAGTAAAGGAGGAATAGGGAAAGAGGGAGAGAGAGAGAGAGAGGAGAGAGAGAGAGAGAGAGAGAGAGAGAGAGAGAGAGAGGAGAGAGAGAGAGAGAGAGAGAGAGAGAGAAGAGGAGAGGAGAGACGAGAGAGAGAGGAGGGAGAGGGAGAGGAGAGAGAGAGAGGAGAGAGAGGAGAGAGAGAGAGAGAGAGAGAGAGAGAAGAGAAGAGAGAGAGAGGAGAGAGAGAGAGAGAGGAGAGAGAGAGAGAGAGAGAGAGAGAGAGAGAGAGAGAGAGAGAGGAGAGAGAGAGAGAGAGAGAGAGAGAGGAGAGAGAGAGAGAGAGAGAGAGAGAGAGAGAGAGAGAGAGAGAGAGAGGAGAGAGAGAGAGAGAGAGAGAGAGAGAGAGAGAGAGAGAGAGAGAGAGGAGAGAGGAGAGAGAGAGAAGAGAGAGAGAGAGAGAGAGAGAGAGAGAGAAGAGAGAGAGAGAGAGAGAGAGAGGGGGGGGGGGGAGGAGAGAGAGGAGAGTGAAAATGAGAATGAGAGAGAGAGAGTGAGAATGAGAAAAAAAACAACATGAAAGATAAAGAAAGATAAAAAATGAAAGAAAAAGAAAAATCCTGCAAAAAGAGACAATGGAGAGAGAGAGAGGGAATAAGACAAAGAATCAAATAATAAAAGAACGAAAGAAAAAAGAACATGAAAGAGAAAGAAAGAAAAAAATATATAAAAGAAAAAGAAAAATACCAATAAAAAAAGAAGACTTGGATCATTATATAATAAAAAATAGTTGATTTTTTTTTCATATCTGAGGTTAAATCTCCACCCGCACTATGAAATTATCCGTATTATGCAAATTCCATTCCTACTTCAGGCCAATTTTTGAACTTGTCTCATGTCAAGAGGCTCTTAATTGGAAAGAATTTTATGCGAATCAGATCATGTCAAATTATCTTTTTTTTCATTCTTGGTCTGGTTTTCTTTCATATTTTTTTACTATTCATATTACTATTATTGTTGTTAATTATTGTCATGTTATTTGCATCATAATCGGTATCCTTATCGTAATAGTTGTTATTATCTTTATTGTTATGTATATCTTTATTATGATTAGTAGTAGTAGTACCGCTATTAGTATTAATAGTACTCTTCATTAATATAACTATTATTATCATTATTATTATTATCTCTTATATGACGATTATTTCTATTATCATCATAATCCTCCACTTCTTTCTCTTCTTTTTCTTCCTTTCTTTATCTTTTTCTTTTTCTTTTTTCTTTTTCTTCTTCTTTTTCTTCTTCTTCTTCTTCTTCTTCTTCTTCTTCTTCTTCTTCTTCTTCTTCTTCTTCTTCTTCTTCTTCTTCTTCTTCTTCTTCTTCTTCTTCTTCTTCTTCCTCCTCCTCCTCCTCCTCCTCTGCATCATCATCATCATCATCATAATTATCAGTATCATTATCATATTCATATACATACCATCCCCCCCCCGCCCCCTCCTCATCACCGTAACCCGCGTCCCACCCGCCCTCCCTCCTCGACCCTCACCACCAACGCCCGCCCCCCAAAGGTACACCGTCGGGGAGATGTACCAGCGCGCGGGCGGCCTAGCTTCGACCCTGCCCACGCGCCCTCCGCCCGCCCCCGCCACGCCCGAGCAGCGAGCCCGCGTCTCCCTCCTGCCGGCGAGCTTCGACTGGCGCAACGTGAGCGGCGAGAGCTACGTGTCCCCCGTGAGAGACCAGGGAGGCTGCGGCTCCTGCTACGCCTTCGCCTCCATGGCCAACCTCGAGGCGCAGGTCCGGATCGCCACGAGGAACCAGCGGCAGGATGTGTTCTCGCCGCAGGTGAGTGGGGGTGGAGGGGGAGGGTGGGGGGAAGAAGAGGGAGGAGGAGGGGTAGGGGAGAAGGAGGGAAGGAGAGGGGGGAGGGAGGATGAGGGGAAGGGGGACGGGTGGGAGAGAGAGGAGGAGGAGGGGAAGGGGATGGTGAGGAGGGGAGCGAGGAGGAGAGGAGTGGAGGGGGAGAAGGAATGGAAGGGGACAGGGTGGGAGAGGTAATAAGGGAGGGGAGGGAGGAGGACAGAAAGGGGATGGGGGGAGAAGGAGAGCGAGGAGGAGAGGAAGGGGAGGGAGGGAAAGGGAACGGGGGGAGAGGGAGAAGGGAGGGAAAAGAAGAGAAAGAGAAAAGGGGAGTGGAAGGAGGAGAGAGTGGAATGTGAAAGAAAGAGAATGAACAGCAAATTATAAGAAATCTCTAAATTCAATCTTCCCTTTTCGCCGTTCACCGATTTCCTACACGCTACGACACACTACACCACGTTCCCACGCCAGGATGTCGTGTCCTGCTCGGTGCTGGCCCAGGGCTGCATGGGCGGCTTCGACTACCTGATCGCGGGTCGCTACGCCATGGACCAGGGCGTCGTGGCCGAGGAGTGCAACCCTTACGACGGCTCGGTAAGTCAACATGCCGCGGACAGCGAATTGGCGAAAGTGGCTATTTCCTGTGGCGATGAATCTCCATTTTTCGGCGCGTTTTCTCGAACCGCCCTCCATTAAATCATCCGACGCCGTTATCCCCTTCGCAATGAAAAGGGAGTTTGTGGTGTTGATCTACAAAGAGACCAACAGCTAGGTCGAATTTTTATTCAATATCTACAAGGGGGTCACAGACGAGGCGTTGTCGGGGCGGCGTGTTTTCGCACCAGAAATATTGACTAGACGAGAGAACACACGATCTCCTCATACGGGCATAGAGGTTCATTCATCTTCCTTAATAACGAGTCCCGCTTGAACCCTGCGATTGTGCTGATTGAATAGAGATGCCGTGATGTGAAAAAGAAATAAAAGTCAGTGGCTGGACATGCGGGTCTTAGTGATTTCGCCGAGGGAAGGTCAGCCAGAGGCCCATCGGAACGGAATGGGTGAGGTTCATCGAGGAGTTATGTAACGAAGGCTGTCTCGAGGGCGCGGTCGTGTTGTTACAGGATCCGTCACGAGGCGTTGAGTGTGTCGTTACAGGGGTCCCTCAATGGCAGAAAGAGGTTACGGCGTCTCATTAAGCGATTTTTTGCGATGTTACAAAACCGGTTTAAAGCATTCGGTCATGTTATCGCAGGGATGATCTTGGTTATGTTATTGAAGGATCAGGTTTGATCTATCTTGTAGACAGTTAAAGGATCCACTTCACGTGTAGTTATGTAGTTAAAGGGTTCATCTTAATATGGGTAGTTATATAGTCTTACATTGACCTTTAAGTTTCTCCCATTCGCAGTGTTTTTACAGGCTCGATACTGAATCGCTGCTCTACCCTGCAGGATTCTATTTCTCGAGGATCCGACCTTCCTAGCCCGTGTCGGACTTCGTTAGGCTATAAAACCTAGTGTTATGCTAACCTCTCACCTTCATAACGAAATCAATAACCTACTTAACAACTCACTATCAAGTATCCCTCCGCCAGGACAGCCAGTGTGACACGGATGCCACATGCGCCAAGACCTACGTCAGCGAGTACGTCCACGTCGGCGGATACTACGGAGCTTGCAACGAAGAGCTCATGTTGCAAGCCCTGGTCGAAACGGGACCCATCTCCGTGTCCTTCGAGGTTTATGACGACTTCAGGAACTACAACGGCGGCATCTACCACCACACCGGTCTCAAGAACGACTTTAATCCGTTCGAGGTGAGGCAATCCGCGTGCGTTTGCGTTTGAAATGCTAGACGAACGCGTTTGTTTACGTTTTGTTTGTTTTAGGTGTGGAGTGGATGCGTGCGTCTTCCCAAGATAGATTACAGGGAATATCTTCATGGAGGGTAATGCGAAGGTGACTGTACCTTTAATCCATTTCAGGCACTATTTATTCTTTTTTAGTTTCTTTACAGTGCCAAGTGGGAGAATCAGGGATCGATTGCAAATGAATTGGTCATGGTTCATGTAATATCATAATACGGGAAGAGCTGATGAAACAATGATATATAATAAGTTCTTGTCAAAAGCAAATGTTTGATCAAGCTTCTCTACGTCTTGGGTCTCGCAAGCTAAAACTCAAGTATATGTATGAAACTGAAAACTAATAACGTAATGAATATCAAAAATAATTACGGAAGTAACATGAAAGTAAACAATATCACGTTTATTGTAGGTTATAGTTATATAGCATATTCATATACAACAATTCTTCTCCAGGTACATGGGAGGTAGTGTCACGTAGCCATCGACAATATCATTCATTAATGCATTAATCAGTAATCACTATACTATGACAGCTAACTATCTTCTTCACACGCGAGCAGATCACGAACCACGTGGTGCTCGTGGTGGGCTACGGGGCAGACGAGGCCACAGGAGAGAAGTACTGGATTGTGAAGAACTCGTGGGGCGCGCACTGGGGCGAGGACGGCTACTTCAGGATCAGGAGAGGGACTGATGAGTGTTCCCTCGAGTCCATGGCCGTTCAGGTGACCATCATTCCCTGAAGTGGGGAGATGGGCTTATAAGGAAGCGTGGAAGGACACGTTCGAGTTGTTGAAGCAACTGTTTAGTCTTTGAAGTTCATCAATAAATCTGCGCTGTGACTGTAGGTTGTCTTTTTTTCTTATATTCTCAGAAAAAATGCATCTGGCTCGTACTGACTTTTGAACTGAATAATTTTAATTTTTTTTGATTAAAAAAACACTACATCGCTACTATGTACTATCAGCTCAAAATCCTTTAATGTAGAAAACAAAATAAATATCTCCAAAGTGTAATTCCGAAACATAATTAAGAACAAACATCCTGTTGTATCGGTATTAAGGGGTCACGGTCATCGTACATCTGATCGGTTCACCTAAATCCGATAGCATGATAGTCATTTTCTACCTTAAGGTTAGGGCTTGTTTTAGGATATAAGGTACGTAGAGGATATAAGGGACACTGAGGATATATAAGACCGAGTGAATATTAAGTTGAAGTTAGGTAAAAGACTGTTTAACAATACACAAATACAAAATCGAAAAATAAATATGAAAAGGATGTACCCTTCACGAAAAGAAAAACGACGCACTTTTCCGATAAGTGTCACATATTCAACAGGGTAAGCTTGTAAACCTCTTCTTACTAAAACCACAAAACACAAAGGAATTCACAAGGGAACAATATGCACCATATGGTAACAAAAAGCTTTGCTGGGTCTTCGTTGCGATTTCCAAGTGGAGTAAATTTACAGCGTATTCTTCGTTGATTGAATGTAATCGACACCTATATTCAGATCAAAGCCATGTGATAATAGGGTGGGGGAGTACCTTTTCTTGATACTGTGATTTTTTACTCTGAAATTGATACAGGGTTTGCATGTGTGTGAGATTCGTCGTTGCGATCAAGGCTCCAAGTTTTCTGCTTGCTGAAAACACGGGAAGAATTTGGCTTCCTCTGTTGTTCCACTTAACGCAAGGGAGTTAGATTTGTTTTCGGATTACTATTGCTCCTGGGTTATTGTTTTCTTTCTTCTCCTTTCCATCTGTCTTGTCTATTCTTACCATTCTTTTTCTTGTTTTCTTTCTTCTTTCCATCTGTCTTGTCTATTCTTACCATTCTTTTTCTTGTTTCTTTCTTCTCTTTCCATCTGTCTTGTGTTTCTTTCTTCTTCTTTCCATGTCTTGTCTATTCTTACCATTATTTTTTTGTTTTCTTTCTTCGCCTTTCCATCTTTCTTCTTTACAACAAAATTGAATGATTTATATAACCAACACCTTCGCCTGGCTGGTAATACGAAACAGAACACACACGGGTCACACGCAATACAAATACGCCATCATTATACAAAAGACTCTTAAAAGCCCTGTATTCCGACGTGACAGAACGAACAAATACCTGAACAGCGCCAAGGTCACACCCTCGACTGTTACCAAAACAGGGAACCGGTAAGCAGTGAGCCCCGGAATATCAAACAAAGTGTTATGTATTGCATTCAAAGTGGAGGTCGCGCGAAGTTTATTATGGCTGGACAGGACGAAGCACTGGCACCTGAATCACTGAAGCTCGAGTTGACGTCAAGATCAAGGATTGCCAGAGAGTATGGCGAATGCATGCTGATGTGGCTGGTCGTTTACCCTCCTGTGATTTCCAGTTTTTTGTGGAGGCATTGAGAAAGAAAACGGAAATCATAGTTTATCCTACTGAAAAGTTTCCATATTGCCTACTCCTGATCATAGGAAAACGGTGAAAGAAGAAGAAAGAGTTGACATACGGAGGAAGAATTAAATGGTTTGAACTTATGGTAGGAATGAAAACGTGCAGTTAAAAGGGGCTTGGCATGTTGGCATTAGTATACAGGTTGAAATATTCCTTTTTGGGAAATGTTTCTCTGACGTGGACTTGTGGCCAGAATGTTGAGTTACTACATCTATGAGAAAATATTCACTCTCATCTTATAGGCGGTAGTAATAAAGATAAATAAATATTTTCAAAATGCGACATTTGTAAACATTACAACATGAATTTTACATAAACTTTGCATATTTATCGGTATCTCATATCTAAATTAAAATCATTATTTTATCATAAATTATATTACGCTTCGACTTCACACAGGCTACTGGCATACATTATTTTCCATATTGTAATTTTAATTCTTTTTTTGGGGGGGGGCGTATCTCTTTATCTGCAGAATCCTTTTTATCGTTTTGCATTACTGTCACGTCACTTGTATGAAAATGGCGTTAACGTTTTAAACTGGTTTCTTGATATATATATATATATATATATATATATATATATATATATATATATATATATATATATATATATATATATTTATTTATTTATTTATTTATATATAATTTACACTTAGCATACCTCAGCATAATGTATACAACGGTTTGTTTTGTGTGGATTGCTCACAAGTGCAACGAGAGATTTTATTTTTTTCGTACTTCGCCTTCTCCTAAAGCCACAATGCACCATCACAATTGCTCCATCGTTATGGCTCTATAGACCTATCCACCGCGTGTAGATGTGGTTAAAGGATTGCGCAACAGACTGAAGCATCTCCAACACTGGTATTTACGATAAATCATGAGGCTTGCGCAATCTTGAGTGGCGGTGTGGAAATAACTGCAAATAGTATCAGTCTACCATCCCTAGTAATATAGCAAGCTTCCTTTGGAGGTAGTCTTAAGATACTTGGCTTGTTTACGAAAC